GAAAAACTCTGGAAGAGCTTCAGAGAGCCGGAGAACTGTTGATCCGGACCACTTTAAATGATTAAAGGAAGTTTTAAAACAAAGAAATGAGGGCTGGATGGGCACTTTTGAACAAGACTGCATTTCAAGTTCGATTAATATCAACGACTTGGACACACAGAAGGAAAGTTGGGTCTTAATTAGAATCAGATTTGTAAAAAATTGAATTCCCAAAGTTCTATCTAAAGCCTTTTAGACTCTGAAACCTGCAGAAACAGCTGCAAACATCTGGGATGCGCATGCAGAACGAAGGAGGTGAAGATTTAGGGTTAGTTCAGAGCAACCGTCATGAAACACGAGGGGGAAGAAAACAGGAACAAAACAGGAAGCTGCAGATGCTGGAAAAAAAGGTGAAAATGTTAGTGAGCGGCAGGAAGAAAACAGAGGAAAAAAAACCCGTCCGGCTCCTCAGAAATTAGCTTTAGACCACATTCTCTCTCTCTTAACTGAGAAATTAACAGAGAATTACTTTGTTAGCTAATATGGCTAATTCATCCTATATTTAAGTAAACGTAAACTCAATTTTTTTCCATGTTATGGCTTAATTTTGACATTATTTTTACAGAAATCCCTCATATCCGGACTACAAGGATGTCTGGAAAAAAGTGTCTCATCTAAATCCAGATAAGATTCTTTGGGTTTTGGTCCCACAGAGGAATCAGAGTCATTTCTGCTCTGACTTAAATCAAACGGTTCAGGACCGAATTCTTTCCCTCTTTTAAATAACTCAAAACCAGGAGCTGCTCTCTTATTATTTTTTATATTATTATTATTATCATTTATATTATCATTATTATTACTGGCTGCAGACCTTCCCTCCAGATAGAGCTGATAGTTAGTTGGTTCAGGAAGATTGGATCAGAAAGAAGTTTCAGATCAAGCCATTGGCTCTTTTAATCTTTTTTTTTTTAAATTATAAACAAACATGGCATTAATTGGACGATTTGCATTTAAGGTTTGGATCGTTTTCTTTTAAATTCACTGAGATTATTCCACTGAGCTGACAAATGATATCAACTGAAAATCAGAATAGGAATCAGAAATACTTTAACCCTTTAATGCCAAATATTTGATTCATACGGTTTCTGAAATGTTTTGCGTCTGACACCTTTTTCATAATTTAATGGTAAAAACTTTGCTCAAAATCCTATTGTACACAATCAGATACACCTGATAACAGGGGGCAGAACACTACACAAAAATAATCTTGATTTATCGCATAGTAATAAATTATTAATATTAAAAATGTATTTGATTTTTCGTTTACATATTTTGTGAAAAATATTTGTTTTTTATTTATTTATTTTTTTAAACATTTTGTTAAAAGACCAAATAAAGATTTTAAACAAAAAAAAAGAAGAATTTTCTGTTTTGTTTTATTCTTGAATTAGGCTTTAAAGGGTTAATAATCCCAGAGGGGAAATTATTCCAATGAAATCAAATTATTATTTAATAAAATAAAATAATTAAATTAAATTAATTTAATTAATTAAATAAATAAATTATTATTAAATTATTATTATTATTCATTTATAAATTAAAATTATAAATTTATTTATTTATTTATTTATTATTAATCCTTTATTATTAAATGATTATCAGATCATTTTGGCCTGTTAAACAACAGCAAAAAAAGAGCATTTTTGGTGGTTTTGAGAGGAACACGAGTCTGTGAGATCGACCAGACGAGGTCGGGCGTGAGATGGAAATGCAGGAAGCAGAAATGAACCCCTCAGTGGGACGGAGACAGACAGATGGAGGCGTTTGGAGGCGGGTCCATGCGGAGGCGGCGCCCCGGGGGGGGGGGGGGACTTACTCAGCCCGCCTCTATGTCTGACCTACAGCCGGGCCGCTACTCGTCTGTCGCAGAGGTGCCCCGCACGTCTCCTTTCTGACGCATCTGGGGCCAAATCCAGCGGGAAACAGGGTTAAAGCGGACATATGATGCAAAACCAAGCGTTTAATCATTTGATTGTGTATATTTGGGACTGTGGAGGTGTGAAAAAAAATGACTTTTCTGTTTCATGAACTGAGAGGTTTTTCTTTTTCTCTGTAGAAGAAACAGAAAAGTGGGTTTCTTCTGCTCAGCTTAAAGGGGACATAGTATGCAAAACCAAGTTTTTAATCATTTGATTGTGTATATTTGGGACTGTGGAGCAGGCAAAGTGTGAAAAAAAAACTGAGGTGTTCTGCTTTAAAATCAAAAGGAAGTTTTTCTTTTTCTTTTTCTCTGTAGAAGAAACAAAAAAAGTGGGTTTCCTTTGCTCAGCTTAAAGGGGACATAGTATGCAAAACCAAGTTTGTAATCATTTAAATGTGTATATTTGGGACTGTGGAGCAGGCAAAGTGTGAAAAAAAAACTGAGGTGTTCTGCTTTAAATCAAAAGGAAGTTTTTCTTTTTCTTTTTCTCTGTAGAAGAAACAGAAAAGTTGGTTTCTTCTGCTCAGCTTAAAGGGGACATAGTATGCAAAACCAAGTGTTTAAGCATTTGATCGTGTATATTTGGGACTGTGGAGCAGGCAAAGTGTGAAAAAAAACTGAGATGTTCTGCTTTAAAATCAAAAGGAACCACCTCCAGAGGGAGGTTTTTCTTTTTCTTTTTCTCTGTAGAAGAAACAGAAAAGTGGGTTTCCTTTGCTCAGCTTAAAGGGGACATAGTATGCAAAACCAAGTTTGTAATCATTTAAATGTGTATATTTGGGACTGTGGAGCAGGCAAAGTGTGAAAAAAAAAACTGAGATGTTCTGCTTTAAAATCAAAAGGAAGTTTTTCTTTTTCTTTTTCTCTGTAGAAGAAACAAAAAAAGTGGGTTTCCTTTGCTCAGCTTAAAGGGGACATAGTATGCAAAACCAAGTGTTTAAGCATTTGATCGTGTACATTTGGGACTGTGGAGCAGGCAAAGTGTGAAAAAAAAACTGAGATGTTCTGCTTTAAAATTAAAAGGAAGTTTTTCTTTTTCTTTTTCTCTGTAGAAGAAACAGAAAAGTTGGTTTCTTCTGCTCAGCTTAAAGGGGACATAGTATGCAAAACCAAGTTTTTAATTATTTGAATGTGTATATTTGGGACTGTGGAGCAGGCAAAGTGTGAAAAAAAACTGAGATGTTCTGCTTTAAAATCAAAAGGAAGTTTTTCTTTTTCTTTTTCTCTGTAGAAGAAATAGAAAAGTTGGTTTCTTCTGCTCAGCTTAAAGGGGACATAGTATGCAAAACCAAGTTTTTAATCATTTGATTATGCACATTTGGGACTGTGGAGGGCCTATCAGCAGGCAAAGTGTGAAAAAAAAAGAGTTTTCCGTTTCATGAACTGAGATGTTCTTCTTTAAAATCAAAAGGAACCACCTCCAAAAACCATCAGTTCAGCTTCCTGCTGAAAGAGGATGTTTTTCTTTTTCTCCGTTTTGGCACATTTTTTGCTAAACAATACATACCTGATAACAGCCAGTAGAAGACTACACCAAAATATATATTTGACTTATTGCACGCTAATTTGATCAAAATAATTTCAGTTTTTTTTTTTCTTCACATGTTGTTGAGGGGCCAAAGAAAGACTTCAGACTAAAAAAAATCCAATATTCTTGACCAAAGCTTGTCACAGACATTACATTAGGACACCAGGGAACTAGCTTAACTTGTTAAAATCGGGTATGATATGTCTCCTTTAAATCATCCATTCTTACCCAACAGGGGGGGAAACGGCTGCATCGTTTGGAGGTTAAAATCTCCACAGAAGAAGAAAAAACAAAACAGGAATAGGACGGGTTTCCAGTCTGGGTTCTTTACCTCCTCCAGCTCCTTCTGGGTCTCCTCCTCCATCCGCCTGATGTCCTCCATGGTCAAACCCACCCATTTGTCGATCCAGCAGAAGAGCTGGCGGTGGAAGTTGGTGAAAATACGCTTTTCTTGCTGTGGAGAGAGATCGAGATTAGAAAAAACCTGTTGCCTGGAAACAGAACGTTAGGGATCCTCAGAGCTCAGATAAATATATATTTTAGTTACTCAAATCTCTGCGCTGTGTTGCTTCCTTGTATATTTGTTTGTTTTTGATGTACTTTATGCACCTTTTCCTCCTTTTGAACTCTAACCGATGTGTGACCAGTGAATTTCTCCACTGTGAGATCAATAAAGCTCTTATCTTAAAGAGGACTTAACTGGGGAGCTAAAGCAGGGGTGGGCAACCTAAATTGTTGGAAGAGCCATATTGGACCAAAAAAACAAATAAAAAAAATGTCTGGAGCCACAAGAAATTAACCCTGTAATGCCAAGTGTATCATATTTGATACATACGTTTTCTGAAATGTTTTGCATCTGAC